AGTCCTTTTGCAGTTTCTTTCATTGTTTCATAGGGGAGGCTACTAAAAACCACAGTGGAATCAGGTATCGATAATTTGAATTATAACAGTTATTCTGCTATTCAAACAAATTTGGAAAGGATAATACTTAACTCTAAATTTTTGTGTTAAGTATGACTTCTCTGATCTAGAAAGTTTAGAGCAATGAGTTTCTAATGGTGAGGGAAAACAGAAATGCTGCTATCATTAAATATAATTTCTAAAATGCAATCTATTATTTGGGCCTCCCTGGTGGCACAGGGGTTAAAGTCTCAGCACTATTAAGCTATCACCAGCCACAGCGGCAAGAGTTTGTTCCCTGGCCAGGGATCTGATCCATATGGCGCAGCAGACCTCTCCTGTCTCCCCCACTGCTCCCCTCAGCAGTGTATTTCAGTAGATCTTCCTGTTCTGCTCCCCACTCTGTCTCTGGTGAATCCTCTCATGCCCCGCATCTCTGGCCCAGACCCCAGTTCTTGTCTGCATAAATGAAATAAGCCGGTTTTAAAAATGTAATCCATTAACATGGATGTATTGTCTGTGTCAAAATTCAAATGTGTATATGGCTACTTAAAATCTGGGCAGTTACAACCTTTTAAAAGTAAGGTAATTTAGCCAATAGCTTAGATTCCAAATACTTGACATTTCCAAAATTTTGTTCCTTCTAGGCTCATGCTAGGAATGAGCAGGAGCTGTCTCTGTCATGATTGAGAAACCATTCCCTGTGTGTTTAGAATATGAGATACAGCCAACTCCAACTTTGTTATCAGGATGGTTCTTCCTATGGACTATATTTCCATTACCTTAATTTGGGCTTATTGAAAATCCTCATAGCTTCGGGCTTATGAAGAAATTGACAGCATAATATGTTCTTCAACCACCAAAATATTTTTATTTCTGAATCCTCCAATATTCAAGATATAGGAAAAAACGTTTCAGTTAAAAGTAAAATGACCTTTGAGAAACTCTTACCACTTTCTCTCTTTTATCTCCACACAACGTTGGCATTTTGTCTGTTACTATTTTGACAGGAAAATATAGCTTTATATAGATTATTTACAAAAAAATGATTTGTAAATTAAATAGTCAATATAGATATCAGTTATGGAGTTCCATGAATATTATAAAATTGACTTTTCAAAATTAAAACCATAAAGGATATATTTTTATTTTATCATTACACCAATTTTAAAGATCAAGAAAAGAAATATCAAAAATGATGCCAAAGATCACAGAGCTAATACATATTGATGACAGGTCACAGTTTAGGTGGAATTTCTTTTTATGCATACAGATACATTGTTGGTATTTATTTTTATATGCTATTTTGCCTAATATTTACCTAAGAGATTAAACAATAAAATATTTATATATCAACATTTTATTTCTGTGTAATTAGATGATAAATCACACATATCACTTATGCTTGATCACTATTTGACAATTTAATGTTTGAAGTCAATCACTGAACAGTTGTTGCAATGCACATTATTTTCTAAAGTTTAAACATCTATGAAGTTCAAATAAATGGTCTATGTGTTCAGGTTTCTCAAAATGGTTGACTTTTTTTTTTAGATTTATTTATTTTTGCATAGAAGAACTGGGGTACAGGCCAGAGGTATGGGGGTGATAGGATTCACCAGAGACAGAGTGGGGAGCAGAACAGGCAGACATGCTAAAATACACTGCTGAGGGTAGCAACAGACAAGATAGGGGGGTCTCCTGTGCCATGTGGGTCAGCTCCCTGGTGGGGATCAAATTCAGGCCATTGAAGTGATAGTGTTGAGACTTAACCCCTAGGCCACCAGGGAGTCCTGTTTGACTTTCTTATCAATTTGAAATAATTTCTACAATTGCCTTCCAGTATTTCTAACATTTTTTAAATTCTACTTACCTCCAGATTAGCTATCATGTACAAGTTAAGTTTTTTATGCAGTTGGACACTAAGATCTTGAGTGTTGTTTCTGAATAGCTAAAACCATGAAATAAAATGCATTTCAGAGGAGAATTTGTTCTCCTTTGGAGAAATTGGTCATTCCATATTCTTTTTATTTTCTATTCTTATTACAGAATGGTAATGTGGAAATACACAATTCATTCATTCAATGAATATATATATTCAGGTCCTATAGTATTTATTTCTGAGTAAATTGCAGCATATTCATTTATAGTCATTAAATAGTCCTTTTTTAGTATTTTTCCTAACACTTGAAATTTTCCTGAAATAAATGTCCTCAAAAAAAGGAAGTAATTATAGCATATATCTTTTGTTCTTAGGTATCAATAAATGCATCCTGAAACACACCTACGGTTAGTCCTAGTCACCAAAGTGTAACATTTTAAATGTCAGAGTTTCCGAGAGGATTTCCACCTAACCTATAATTCAGTAACCAATGCTTTTACCTTTCTTAATTAACAAAAAAGGTCTGTAAGTAGCTACAGAATGTGATCACTATAACTCCACCTTCACTTTGCACAATTTTCTCCTCTATGAGAACATGGTTCATTTTTAAGCATGGCATGTATATTTGATGAATATGCAAGTGTGTATTCTTATAGCTGCTGCGAACAATTTCTTGTCACCTGTTTTATTTCTTAATCTGTGTTGAACAGGTAGTGCCATTAAGATGTTTCATATGCATCAAAATTAGGATGCCAGCAAGATGATGGCAGTGTAATTGCATAGTACATCATAAGCCAACCCTCCTTGGCACAGCTGAAGATTACTTCAGTTTTGAAATAATCTGAATGACCCCGCTTTTATTGCTGTTGAGTTTCTAGAAAATGATAAAATGTCAAATCATTGGAAATAAACCAACAGAACCTAAACAATCTGACATGACTAATGCATAGTTTCTCTGACTTGTTCCATATTCTGCAGACTTTATTACCAACTATAATATTTTATTGAGAAATGTTGGTCTTAACGAATGTGTCTTCTACCTTACTAAAATGCATGTCTGCTATATAAAGAACAGAAAATTCAGTGCTGTGTACATCTGTGCTTTATGTATACTAAAACCTCTATGCACAAAAGAGATGTAAGTGGTGAATCACTGTTTTAATTCTATTATGTCTAAATTTTGGTAGGGGATGTTATTAAACGCTATTGACCATGTACTTTTGACAATGCTGCTCTTCAATTTATTAAATAATTATAAAACTGTAAGCATATGACATATGGGCAACTTAAAAAAAATTTAAAAAACTGCCCACCTATTGGCAGAGTGATACAAAGAATGGCTGTCTGTACATTTATTGTTATTGGCCTCATAAAATGTTTACTTATATAAAACCCATATCTCAGCCTATAGTCTTGAAAAAACTATATAGCATCTATATAGCATGCTGATCTCATCTGTGTCCTTCAGATTACCTTCAGAGTTTGAAAAATTCATGTTGGATGGTCTCAGTTCTGTAAACCTTTTCAGCTTCGCTAACAATAATCACCAGGTGATGCCAGACAAGATTATTTCACTTGATTTTTGCCTCTTTTATTTTTGCTTCTTTTTGAATGAAGAACTAACCCATAAGGTAATAATTAACTTGCAGTTGCTCCTATTTAAATGGGTCAGAGAATAATTTAGCAGAGATATTATTCATACTTTAAGTCAGATGGCCACGCTTTCCTCAAGATTCTAGTTAAATCTTCCACCCCCCACTTTTACAGCTACCCTCCCATTCATTGTTGGCCTTGTCTGAAAATTGAAATCCTCTACACCTGACAGCTCCCTACCTCTCTAGAATCTCTGTTTGTATCTATGTCTGATAATTTTAGACATATGTTTCCCAACTAAATATCCTATTGGGGAGGATTTAGAGTGCATTATTCCAAACAGATCTGTACTTCTCTTTTTTTATCAGGAATATTCAAGATATTTCCTACGTTCATGTTTTACTCACTCACCATGTGCCATGACATTGACCGTGAGCAGAAATACCAGGTTCTTGGTGTTTCTCAGGTTCTTTGTCACAATCACACAAGGACAGGCTGAGCATGTGGATATGTCACTGATAAATCACTTTTCTATTTAAATGTTATTAAGAAAGAGAGAAAAAGGGAAATGAAAAATAACTCACGTTATAATAATATATACTGTATATTTTCTTCATGTTATCCAATACAAAATCTCTAAAATTTGTTTAAACAATCTATACATTTTTAGTTTGAGGGCTATTACAATATTTCCTGATTTAGGGATATTTTTTCAAAGACATTTTTTTCTGATCAGTTTTAAATTCATGGTAATATAGGTGCTCCACCTGGTGGTAAAAAAATATAAGCATTTTATTTAATTTTTTTAAAAACCAAGAAAATAGAAAAACAGAAATTTATATCTTTATTTTAAAAGTGTATAAAAGTACCTGGTAGGCTTCCAAGTAAAATTTTACTAATCATAATTTCAGTAGATTATAGAGAATGTGTCTTAATGAATGTGTCTTAACAAATGCAATATAAATTGAGAATTTGATTATCCATATATCTATTTTACAAGTTATCTTTACTTTCATGATTTATACTAATTGAGTAAATAGCCCGACTCTTTATTTGATTATTTATATGTATATTCTATCTATTTATGTTTGGAAACATAACTTTCTGCAAGTTTCTGTCAGTTTATCCTTTTTATCCATGTCGTGTATTCTGGATTGTATTGTATTAGTAGCAATTAATTTCATGAATATCCCCTTTCACATTTGAAATCATTTACATGTCAATGTTGTTAATATGTTGAGTATTTATCCTCACAGCAATTTTAACACTACTATTTATAATGTCCATTTAAAATTCTAGAAGAGAATTTATTAGTGAAAAGTAGAGTGAATACTTCTTGTCATAATATTTGATGGAAAATTGACTTTTGATTTCACATTATGTTCTAAATTTTATTTCATTCTATAGACATTGTTATTCAAGCTGTTTTTTTTACTCTATACTATGCTAGCTCCACTGTCAATGTGACTTATATATGTCTTATCAGGCATCTTCCATTTGAAAGTTCCTGAATCATCTCCTATTGGATCAGCCATTGGAAGAATAAGAGCTGTGGATCCTGACTTTGGACAAAATGCAGAAATTGAATACAATATTGTTCCAGGAGATGGGGGAAATTTGTTTGACATCGTGACAGATGAGGATACACAAGAAGGAGTCATCAAATTAAAAAAGGTACATAGAAAAGACTTTGGACAGATGAAGTCCCAATAGTAAATAAAGAACAGAAAGAGTAAAAACTGAAAATGACAAGTAGAAAAGTAAACCTCATTTAATATATCATTTGTTTTTCCCTTTCCTTCTACAAAATTCACTCTACCCCAAAATGCTGTATATCCTACAAATGTAATAATTAGCATTATTTTAACCTACTTGATATATTTTTGCTTTCAGTCCCATTAATCAGGCTACTTTTCCCATATTTGCCCAGGAACTCTGAATTTTTTCAAAAAAACAATATATATGGTAATGAAAATCATCATGGAAAGAAACACAATTTTCATATACATTATTTGTCATTTTTATCCCCACTATTGTGCATAAATTTTACCTTTTCTTGAAATTAATTTAGCTGCAAGATCTCATTCAGTAAAATTATATATTCATGTTGAATTTTCAAAGTACATATATAAAAAATATTTCCGTCAAATTCTTGTCAGCTTCATTCCTTTATTGTTTGGTGTGCTTTGTTTGCTTTATATTCTGTTTCTGTTCAGCAGCAAGTCAATGAAAAAATGTCACTTAATTTTTCTTTAAAGAGGTCTTAAAAAAAAGAACCACATGTAAATGGCTTTGCAGACATCAGTTCAAATGGATATAAATATATAAATTCTCTTAGTAATATAAAAAAGTAAAAATAATTTCACATCAATAGCTCATAAAATATAAGTGTGAAATTAAATTTACAAAGTAAATTGAGGTATTAGAATTATCAATATTGTGTATGCTATGTATGTTTATATATATTCATATAGTTATAAATATACTTTATATGAATAGTTTTCTATATTTATTTAAACAAATTTGCCATCAATGCCAAAAAATATTAATATCTAAGTGTCAGTTTGAAAAAATGTGTGGCAATCTTAAATTTTTTCTTAAGAATTTAATTCTTAATGAAAATTAAAAGAAAATGATGTGCTAACTAAGGTGCTTTATATTATGTCTAAATGGGTTGCTATTTAAAAAATGATTCAATTGCATCAATCAACATTGTTTAAATACTCATTTATTATATGTCATCACTACAGCAATAAGAACATGTCTTTCTAGTGTATGAAAACAATATAAAGAGAGAGTCATATTTTAATTCTTTTAAAATGTTCTCTTTCTTAACTAGATTAAACTTGAGATTTGTGAAACTATAATGATTTTATTTACCTTTGATTTATATAAATGTAGAAAGTGCATCTCCAATTTAATTGCTTCCTATTGTGGTGCATTATTGTTATCCATGCTGGCATACAATTTATTTTCTAAATGAAATTTAGTGTCCATAACTAACATTCTTTCGGTCATTCAATGGATATTGTTGGTGTAGCAACTAAATCCCAGATCAGACTCTGGAATCTAGAGAAATACCAGTGAAGGTATAGTCAATTATTTTCCATTCAGTTGGGAATTCAGGTAATAAATTAAAAAGCACTATCAGTAATCAGAATTCAAGGTTGAAAACATAGAGCAAGATAAAGGGATTATAACAGGAGAGTGATGGAATCTTATATTGATGGTCAGAAAAGGATTTACTTTTAGGTTAAAATTTCAGCAGAGACCTGAAACAGGCCCAAAATGCACCATGCACTGTCTCGTGATGGGTGTTCCAGAATGGTTGAGCATCAGTTGCAAAATCTCTGCTATGGGCATCCTGGGAAAAGTCAGTGAGACTGAGCGCAGTGAATGGAGGGTCTGTGTAGAGGAAAAGTACACGATGGAACTCCTGGTAGGCCAGCACCAACACTTGAATTAAGTCAAGATATGGGAAACGGTGTTGAGTTTATATCAAATTGCTTTTATCCTTGTAAAGTTAGGCTATTCTGACTGTCTGACTGTCCTGAAAAGAATAACCTGAAAGTGAGGATAGAAATAGGCCAGTGAAGTGATTGTAGAAATCCAGGAGACTGATGATGGTGATACAGACCATGACACTGTAGCAATGGAAATTGTGAATTGTGAAAAATGGGGAGAGTTGGCTACATTTTAGAGGAACAACCAAAACGATTTTTTAAAAAGATTTATTTATTTATGCATACAAGAACTGGGGTGCAGGCCAGATGTGCAGGAGGGTGCGAGGATTCACCAAAGACAGAGTGGGGAATGGAACAGGCAGACTGACAAAACACACTGCTGAGGGGAGCAGCGGAGGAGACAGGAGAGGTCTGCTGCACCATGTGGGATTCTCGCTGGCTGACCGGGATGGAACCTGCGCTGCAGAGGCTGTGGACAGCTTCACAGCGCTTTACTCAGCCACCTGTACCACTAGGGGAGGCCCCAAAATGATTTTTATAAATAATCTGATCAACAGTAAATTACATCAAGCATTTGTTGTTTTTCTTTTTATTACTATTTTTTTCTTTTTAATTTTTTTTATTTATACAAGAATCGGGGTACAGCCAGATGCACGGGAGGGTGAGAGGATTCACCGGAGACAGAGTGGGGAACAAAATAGGCAGACTGCTGAAATACACTGCTGAGGGGAGCAGTGGGCAAGACAGGAGAGGTCTGCCGCGCCATGTGGGAATCTCCTTGGCCGGCCGGGAATCGAACCATCGCTGCAGAGGCTGAAGACAACTTCACAGCACGGTGCTCAACCCGCTGCACCACCAGGGAGGCCCCTACATCAAGCATTTGAATAGGTTTGCTTTCAATGTTGTAATTTATTTTAGTCTTTAAATGAAAAAACTCCAGAGGTAATCCATAACTGCTAAACTGTTGTTCTCTTGGAAAACTAAATTGCAGCTTGCAAAGAACATTTGCTGAATCTAATTTTTTGAGATTTATTTTCATTCTTTTATTTATGTGAAACTGGTTTACAATGTTGTAAATGTATAATCTTCATCAGGGAAATTGCTTTGCAGTTTTGTTTTTATTCTTTTTTTGTTCTTTATTCTGATTTTGTTATGAGGAAATGTTGGCCTCATAAAATGTGTCTGGAAGTCTTCCTTTTTTCTCATAATTTTTTTGGAAGAGCTTAAGGATTATCGGTTTTAGCCCATCTTCGATGGTTTGGTCGAACTTGCTTGTGAAACTGTCTGGTCCTGGTCTGCAGTTTTGGGGGAGAATTTTGATTACAGTTTCAATTTCCTTGCTTGTAATAGGGCAGTTCAGATTTTCTGTTTCCTCCGTATTAAGTCTCAGATGGTTGTAAATTTCTGAGAATTTGTCCATCTCTTCTAGGTTGTTCAATTTACCAGCATGCGATGTTCATAATAATTTCTTATGATCCTCTGAATTTCTGAGATGCCTTATGACTTCTCCTGTTTTGTTTCTGATGCTATCTGTTTAAGTGAGTCTAGCTAGAGCTCCTTCTAATTTTTTATTTTATGAGCCTCACTAGAGCTTCATCTATTTTGTTGATTTTTTAAAAGAACCATGTTTTTGGTTTCATTAATCTTTGGACTCTCTTTTTGATTCTTTAAAATATGAATCAGGAGGACATTAAAATTTAAATCATGTATCTGTCTGTGTCTTTCTAATAACCTACCTACCTACCTGGTATGTATGTTGTAATGTGTGCATATGTGCGTACATATACACACACATATATAACTTGATTAAACATGACATTTTGGTTTTATAAAAATTAGACAATGAGAAAATATTCAGTTGAATAAAGAATATGAAAAACTAAAAATAATTTAAACAATTGCAGTTCTTTAGATTTTTATTATGTTTGAAGACTTTTATAGAACTATTTCTGCATTTATTCTGCAAGGCCTCAGAAAATTTTATCTTGCACATATCATTAGGAGTCCTATAAATATTGGATGCATGATAATAAATATGTATCTAAACATCCACAGCAGTATTTAATTTCCATAATGTTCTTAAAATTGCTTTGTGGAAACTTTCCCTTTTCCCTATATCCCAGTATAGAAGTGCAAGAAGAGTTTTCATGAGAAACCAAATTCATACAGGAATTATGTTAAGTACATTAAATGTACCAAGAATCAAAAAATATGCATTCTCCACTTGAATATGCAGCTATTTACTGAATGCTTATTGTTTTATTATTTGACAAACATTAGAGCATGATATTCTTTGTTTTCAGAGTGTTACTTTTTTTTGTAAATTTAATTAAAAATAAAATAAATGCTGCATATTTTCTGAGGCACAAATGCTGTTGTTTTACCTTCAGAATTTTTGTTTTCCCTTTATTATTTTCCCCTCTCTCCTTTTTCTCTATAAAGGGAGGGTCTAAGTGGACAAAAATTATGGTCAGGTTTATATGAGCTGAGACCAAAAAAAGACATTTTTATATATTTTATTTTTTAACCTCAACTTAGATTCAGTTTATGAGCACTGTGACAGAATGCCATTTCACGTGTCACTTTGAATTCAGAATAACATTATGAAACTTTATAAATCTCCCCAAGGCTCAAGATATTGGTTTTGAAAAAAACACACAAAACTATTCTTATTCTACATTATGTCATATATTACTGAGCAAGTAGAAGCAAGTAAATAGTGATATGTTGTCATGTATTATATCAATTAAAACACTAACAGATGATAATAAACATTTTAAATTTTATATCCTATCTAAAAATTTGGAGGTAGGTTACATCTTAAATGAGATAGAAAGATGTTATATGGAATTATTTGCTATTTATCTAAAATGAAAAAAATAGAAATCTTTTAAAAAATAAAATGAATAAAAATATTTTCATATTAAAAAAGTCTTACTATTTTGATGTTACTTGGGAGTATTATTTCATATCTAATGACTGTGATCAGATTGAATTCCAAGCAAAAATTTTTTTTTTGCCTTAAAAGCATAAGGTAAAATAATTCATTCTTCATCAGCATCAGGACCTTTTACTAAAGAGATTCAGCTCTCAACTGGCACCATTGGAGCTTTATATTTTACTTCTGTCCTGTTACTCAGTAAAGCTCTTTTTTTTTTGGAAGTCTTAGTGTGTTCATCTGAAATGTTTTGATAGCACAGCACCATCGTG